CCCCAGTTCTGTATGCATAAATACAACTTTAAAAAAACAGCCAGCTTTCATTATTACCAAATCCATTAGAGCATCCCCTGGCTGCCACAGCCCTTTCCCCGGCCGCCATCAGAGCCACCTCTCCAACTGAAGTGATGCAGTCACAAAAATACAAACACTGTGTGAGAGGTACCTGATTAGCCATATTCATACCGGTAGGAGGAGGAAAGGGGAATTATTTTTTTTTTTAATATATACACAGTTTTAGTTTTTACAAGATGAAAAAAGTTCTGGAGATGATTCACACAACAATGTGAGCATACTCGACAGCACTGAGCTATATCTTTACACACGGTTGACATAGCAAATTTTGTCATTTGTATTTGACCACAATTTTTTTTAAGGTTTATTTGTTTATGCATACAGAGCTCAGATACAGGCAAGAGGTACAGGAGGGGTGAGAGGATTCACCAGAGACAAGTGGGGAGCAGAACAGGCAGATCAACAAAGTACACTGCTGAGGGGAGCAGTGGGTGGGTTAGGAGAGATCTGCCACACCATGTGGGCCACCTCCAGGGTGGGGCTTGAACTCGCACTGAAGCGGCTTCAGCTGGCTTGCAGTGCTGCATTCTAACCTGCTGCACCACCAGGGAGGGCCTAATCCTCCTTTTTAGATTCAAACTCGGAATCCAATATTTGTCCTATAACTTATGGTGTCCAGTGCAAGTGAAAACCTGAGACCTCTTGTTCCTGTCATTAAGAATTTCAGAACAGTGAGAGCTGAGCACTAGGAAAGCATGGCTGTGCCTCCATGGCTGGGCGTTCATGGCTCTAAGCCCACGAAGTCCACATGTGCTTCTGACTGGATCACACGGGTAAGAACAGAACCATTTCGAGCAATCCAGGGGTATGCTGGAGGCAACTCAAACCAGCAAGACAGTTGTGGATAGCATCTCCCTTTCTTCTCCCCCTCCTGCCTCCCCCCTTCTCTGTCTCCCCCTCTCCCCACCCTGTGCGAGCCTTCCTCCTCCCCCTCTGCTCTCTCTTTGTCTAACCCCCTTTTTTCCTCCCCCACCCCCACAAGTGTGGGATGGGCAACTGTGCATCTACACCTGTAACTTGGCGGCTCAGCACAGGGCCTTCCCAAGACCGAGGCCCTGGACTGTGAGGAATGCAGTGTTTCCCTGTAGATCCATCCCCTGCCATCTGCAGAGCGACACTCACTGCTTGTGGACAACCACCTCGCCTACTTGCCCCGGAGCCAGGCCTGTGCCCCTGGCAATCCCTGAGACTCAAGGAGGCCTGAACCCTGCCCCCAGGGGAGCCACAGCTTGCCCATGTTCACACCCTTTTCTACTTCCACTCTCTCCCCACTAGACAATGAAATAAAGAATTGCCACCAGCAAAAAAAAAATATATATATATATATATATATATATATCTGTGACCTCCCTGGCCTTCCTTGCCAGCTAAACTTGGTTTTCTAAGCAGTTTAATAGAAACTTCTGCCAGTGCTAGAGCTACACAGCTACCGCTGGAGTCACTATGGTTACCTTGGTTGTATGGGTTGGCAAAGCCTCGGCCTCCACCACAAACCAGAGCTTCTGCCTCCAAATTTACGCCCTTTTGTGGGTCCAAAATTTAAAGATTTGTTGTTATTATTGCCAAAATCTTATAGATTTTACTACCTCCAAAACTGCTTTCAGGGCCCTCCCTGGGGGCGCAGCGGGTTAAAGCACAGCACTAAGAAGCTGAAGCCACTTCCGCATGAGTTCTATCCCCGCCTGCCCCGGAGGTGACCACATGGCG